TGATGACGCACGAAAGTAGTCAATTCTGCAAACTAAATGTCATGAACTATCATCTTCAATAAGTCTCCAGTTCATTTCTTTAGTGATTTTCGATAAAAAGGGGCGACAAAATTGCATTTTAAAATCAGGAAATTGTCCATAACCTGGCACCAGAGGCGAATTTTCAAAAAAACGGAATTCATATAATGAACTTTTTTTCCTGAAATTTCATCGAAAACAGCTGAATAGTTGTTGAGAAATCGCCTGCACAAAATTTTGACAGGAAAAAAGAATAATAATAAGAAGAAACAGTAGAATCACTATAGAATCACTATTAACTAGTGTTAATTGTACAGTAAAACTCGGTTATAGCGAAGTCCTGGGGACCTGTGAATTTACTTCGCTATATCCGTAATTCGTTATATCCGTATAGCGAATTAGTATAACCATTATAGCGAATTCGCAATATGCGTGTTTTCCTTCAGGTATTACTACCAAATATGTTAGAGAAGCATATACTACAAAACATATCTTCGATAACTAAGGTTTTATTATGAATTAAATTTTATTTACAAATGCTAAAAGTAAATTAAATCAATTCAATTTTTCAATTTTTTTATAATGTTAGAAAGTTCATTATAAAAGATGTAAATTACATTATATTTAACCTCAACGGGACTCAAAATCAGTTTGCTATATCCATAAATTCGTTATATCAGAGTTCGTTATAACCGTAAAATTTTACAATGATTTGTTAAGAATTTTGCCGGGGACCCTGAAAAACTTCGCTATATCCGTGAATTCGCTATATCCGTGTTCGTACTAAACGAGTTTTACTGTAATGGGGACCGTTAAAGAATTGTTCCCCAAACCCTGCCCAACTCCCTTTTGTGCCATACTCCCTGTAAGCTTCATTAATTAGACTTTAACAACATTTTCCCAGAAGTCATCCGCATTTTTCTTCAGTAGGTAAATTTACATGCTTGATTGTTTTGATGACGACCGTCACAGGTCGAAACCGGTCAACAAAATAAATTTACTGCTGCATTCTCACGAAGTGTTAGTGATCTGCTTTATACTTTTAAGTTTATAACTTTAGTTACATACCCTATTAAATACCTTTCCGTATCCACACGTGAGAATCTTCCGCAATTTTAACCTAAAAGTGTTGGCAATTTTAAGGCCTAAAAGTGTTGGACTTCTTCTCAAGAACCACTGGGCAATTTTTTTTACAAAGCATTTTGAAGGGAAATTTAAATTGTTAAAATATGTTCGCAAGGGGAGATATCAAGAAAAGACAAAAATAGAGTTGGGTCATTAAAAAATCTTCTTCTACTGGGCCAGTAAAGCTGAAACTTATGTGGAAGCATCCTGGGGTAGTTAGATTCTAAATTGTTCAAATCATATGGGGAATCAAAGTTTTATATAGAAATATATAGGAAAAATCTTTGAAAATCTTCTTCTCAAGAACCACTGGGCCAGAAAAGCTGAATCTTATGTGGAAGCAACCTGGTATAGTGTAGATTCTAAATTGTTCAAATAATGACCCCCGGGGGAAGGGTGGGGCCACAATGGGGAATCAAAGTCTTATATAGAAATATATAGGAAAAATCTTTGAAAATCTTCTTCTCAAGAACCACTAAGCCAAAAAGCTGAAACTTATGTGGAAAAGTGTAGATTCTAAATTGTTCAAATCATGACCCCCGGGAGAAGGGTTTGGGGAATCAAAGTTTTATATAGAAATATATAGGAAAAATTGAAAATTTACTTCTCAAGAACCACTGGGCCAGAAAAGCTGAAACTTAAAATCCTGGTATAATGTAGATCTAAATTGTTCAAATAATGACCCCCGGGGGAAAATTGGGGCCACAATAGGGAATCAAAGTTTTATATAGAAATATATAGGAAAAGTCTTTGAAAATCTTCTCAAGAACCACTGGGCCATAAAAGCTGAAACTTATGTGGAAGCATCGTGGTGTAGTGTAGATTCTAAATTGTTCAAATCATGACCCCCGGGGGAAGGGCGGGGCCACAATGGGGAAGCAAAGTTTTACATAGAAATATATGGAAAAATCTTTGAAAATCTTTTCAAGAACCACTGGGCCAGAAAAGCTGAAACTTATGTGGAAATCCTGGTAATTAGATTGTTCAAATAATGACCCCCAGGGGAAGGACGGGGCCACAATGGGGAATCAAAGTTTTATATAGAAATATAAAGGAAAAAATCTTTGAAAATCTTCTTCTCAAGAACCACTGGGCCAGAAAAAGTGAAGCTTACGTGGAAGCATTCTGGGGTAGTGTAGATTCTAAATTGTAGGAATCATGACCCCCTGGAGAAGGGCGGGGCCATTATAGGGAATCAAAGTTTTACATAGAAATATATAGGAAAAATCTTTGAAAATCTTCTTCTCAGGAACCACTGGGCCAAAAAAGCTGAAACATATGTGCCCATGGAAGGATCATGGGGTAGTGTAGATTTCAAAATGTCTAAATTACTATCAGTGGGGTAGGATGGGGATGCATTATGTATAACAACAAGCTTCTTTGTGGCCCATGGGCCTCTTGTTTTTGTTATGTATTTTATCTGTATGGTCGTGACAGTTTAAAAAAATGTGTTAAGGTCATAAAATATGAAATGATTGTTTTCGTAATTTAACATTATAAGAGAAAATAGTAATTAGTTTTACATTTATTGCCTCACCTGCAATTATCAAAAAAGAGATTAGTTTTAATTAATTGTTTACCAGTAGTTATTATCTTCTCTATTATGCCCCAAGTTGCAAATAAAATGGTTGCATTTCAACGAAAAAATTGATTTTGCAAAAAGAAATTGAAACTAATTCACATTTTTGCATTATTATTATGACAGACTGCTGTAATAGTGACAATAGATACAAAGTTTGATGGAACCAGGGATGTATATTATACATCCCTGATCATGCTGTAAGAATGGCATCCAAACATTGTAAACATTAATTATAATTAAGGCCATTCCAAGTTTTTTCTCTGTTTAGCGTCCACTCATCTTTCAAAAACCTACCTACCTATTCGCAAAAAACACACAAGCCAAAACATTAAACAAAGCTTAAAAGTCATAAAAATGACGTCCTTCAAATGATTTGATCTAACTAAACTGCTTTAATACAAGAAATTTCAATTTTTAACGACGTTCGATCCTGATATTTAAAGTCTTAAACTTTTTTTTCCAAGTATATTTTTAGCTTCTACATACATAGCTTAATAAAAATTCAAATCAAAAAATGGGGGTCAATCCACTTCTTTTGGCGCTACACTACATTTAATATGACCTTTTTGCACTGAAATTTGTGTCTTAATTAAAAATTAAATTTTTGACGTTTTCCTTCGAATATTTTTATCCAATTAAAGCATGAAACAAAATGAACTCTATGTTTGTTGAAAAAAGACACTTAAAAATTGTGACTAAGAAAAAGTTTTAAATTGCTTTGCATAATAAATTATTTGACCTTTCTGCACTAATAAAAAGTGATTTTTCTGGCATTGAAAATTTGATAAGCAAGAAAATTATTTTAAAGTCTTAAACTTTGTCTGATTTTAAGCAAATAGGCCAAATTTATCTTGAACATTTAGAAAAGAACATCAAAAGCAGGGGTATATGATGTAAATTTTCAGATATTACTAAAAAGGTGTCAATTTTACGTTAAAATTGGCTCACTTTTTCCCCGGATTTTCAGAATATATTTACTATATTTGTCACACTTTGTTGATAGAATTCATAAGAAATAATTTAATAGATATTTCAGAACCAACATAACACATTTAACTGCAAAAAACAGCTTTTTGTGCAACCAGGAAGGAAAAATAGGAATAAAAAATTAACAGTACTGTTATAGTTCAAAATGGAAAAACTGATCATTTTCGTCTTAAAAACCTTCTGCCACAAAATATAGTCCCTATCTTAATTCTACTTGAATGGAATTTAATCACTGTTTTTTCATTGAATATAGTTAAATTTGCACTGTAGAATTCAGTTTTAATGTTAGAACTTAAAAATCGTGCAGAAGTTTATAAATAAAGGACCTGACCAAATTACGCTCAAAATCTCAGGATCGAACGTCCTTAAGCAAAAACAACGGATTAAATGCTTACAATACACCAAATATAACTTACTGTACAGAATTATTTGAAGAAACTTGCAAAATTTCGACTAAATTTATCAATTTCAGGACTCCTGTTGTTGTGTGTTTTTTCTCATATGGGGTGTCAAATACCAAGGTTCACGCGGATGCTAAACATAGAAAAAACTTGGAATGCCTAACTGTTTAATGGGTTAGGTACTTAGCAATAAGTAAACATGACAAACAGCTGGGGAAAAAACAGATTCTTTTGATTAAATTTAATTCTAGGAACAGATTGCTTGGGTACTTTTTTGTACTGTTTAACCATAAAGGAGATTGTTTGTAATAAAAATATTTCCCTCAACCTACCAAATTGTTTTAGTCACTGTAATATGTAATCTTTGATTGAATAGTAAGACATAACACATATATGGGTGTTTGTTCCTTGTTTTATTAAAGTTATTCAACATCTCTAATTATGGCGAGTGAAATATTAGTTGATGGTGCCAGAAATTGTGAAATGGTGACTAAAAAAATATTTTATGTCGTCATTTAGCAACCTGAAATTAAGTGTGACTTGGAGCATTGTGATGATTTGCAATGTTTGCAGTATTTCACAGATCAGAGGAATCATGCATTTACATATAGAGACTGACTGAATTTGACAAAAAGGGTATAATTTTTCACATGAAAAAATTATAATTCTTATTTTTTTTTTTATTTTATTAGTAAGCAAAGTCCTTCTTTAGTATTAAAAGTATAATTTCTTAATAAACATAACTGTGACTGGGTGAATTCAAAATGGGGCAAAATTGTTCGCAAGGGAGAAAGGGCGGAAATAATTCTTGGAAGAAAATAACTGTATACAGTAATAGATTTAATTAGAATATAAAAGAACGTAATATTTCCTTTCATTCCCTACAGGCTTTACAGAAACTTGCTGAAATCCAAGGTTATGAAAATTGTTGCAGTTACATTGAGACTTATCTACCTTATTTGATTCATCAGTGGTTATGTCTACAGTATAATGTGGATGACTTTCCATTCCTATTGGTCAACTGTGGTTCAAAGAAGGACTTCTACAGGTGAAGTGAAGATTCAAGTTTGTTCAAATTATGACCCCTGGGTGTAGGGTGGGGCAACAATGGGGTATCAAAGTTTAACATAGGAATACATTGGAAAAATCTTCTTCTCAAGAACCACTGGGCCAGGAAAGATGAAACTCATGTAGAAGCATTCTCTGGTAGTGAAGATTCAAGTTTGTTCAAATCATGACCCCCAGGTGTAGGATGGGGCCACAATGGGGTATCAAAGTTTAAATTAGGAATACATTGGAAAAATCTCAAGAACCACTGGGCCAGGAAAGATGAAACTCAAGTAGAAGCATTCTTTGGTAGTGAAGATTCAAGTTTGTTCAAATCATGACCCCCGGATGTAGGATGGGGCCACAATGGGGTATCAAAGCTTAGCTTACATGTAGGAATACATAGGAAAAGTCTTTAAACATCTTTCTTTTAAGAACAGCAAAGTCTTGATTGGTCATAGTTATATGGAAGCATCCTCTGGAAGTGAAGATTCAAGTTTGTACAAATCATGACTTTAGGGGATAGGGTGACACGATGGGGGATCAATGTTTAACAAAGGAATACATAGGAAAAATGTTTTAAAAACTTCTTCTCAAGAACAGCAAAGCCATGATTGGTCATAGCTATATGGAAGCATCCTCTGGTAGTGAAGATTCAAATTTGTTCAAATCATGACCCGTTGGGCAAGGGTGGGGCCATTATGGGTGTTTAAAGTAGGATTACAAAGAAAAAATCATAAAAATTCTTCCTCTTGAGAACGTTGTGATGGGTCATAGTTATACTGAAGCATTCTCGGGTAGTGTAGATTCAAGTTTGTTCATATCATGACCCATTGAGGAAGAGTGGGGCCAATATGAGGTATCAGAGTTTTACATAGGAATACATTTGGAAAAAATCATTAAAATTCTTCACAAAGCCATGATTGATCATCAATTTAAAAGCATTATTAAAGTGTATCATAACAATAAACTAGAAAGCCATTATGTGTCATATTTATTCAAAAGCATTCTTAGGAAGTGTAGATTTAAGTTTGTTCAAATACTTTTCAATACTAAACTGATTTTTGCTTTTACCTAGCTATTTGCTCAGGTGAGGGGTGTGGCACCTGGGCCTGTTGTTTTATTTTTTAGGATTCTTTCATTGTCATATTCAGTGTAATTTCTTTTTCAGAGAACACTTTGAGATTCTCATCACCGAACTCCTTATGTTTAAAGATATTGACAATGCAAAGAGAGTAGCTATGACCCTAGGGCAAGACTGGCTGGAGGTTCTAAAACTCTGCATACCCAGGATTGTGGTGTTCATTCTGCCTCAGTTTGCAGCCTCTCAGAGGGGAGAGACTGCTAGTGAACATGTGAAAAAGAGGACGGCTCATGCAACTGCTTGTTATACTCTGCTGACTGATCAAGCTGGAAAAGAGGTGAAATGTCTCTTGTATAAGCCAGACTTTCTCTGTTTTTCTGATCAAAGTTTGCCTGCCATTCTTCTCTTGTCCATCTTGTCTGCTAAATTTTAGCTCACCTTGCCAAGTCAAGACGATCATATGCTATACCACTGGTGTCAGCATTGGTAAGTTTTGATGTTCACGTCCAGCCAAAAGTAACTAATTGCCCCATATGGACCATATGGACCAAACTACAGACTACACGATTCACACTACCAGACTTCCTTTGGATTCTGGATCTGACTCACATTTTCCAGATGAGTGACCATGTACTCATTTCTGAGGCATGTCCATTTCCAAGAAACTACAGTAAAACATGCTTATGTCGAAGTGCCTTGGGCAGATATTTTTTCTTAGTTACATGCGTAATTCATTTTATTATATGATTGAATAATTCCCATCTCTCTGATTGGCTGAGATCCAACTATGCTAGAAAAATACTACGTTGTATTGACCTGCACGTGACGTTCCAGGTCAATACAAGGATTAATTTCCTCTACATTGATCTAAAAATAGATCGGGATATTCCAAATTGATTTGGAAAGCTATTTAAACTAATATAACTTTTTTTTTCATGTGAAGGAAACATAAGGGAATATATATTTTTGGGTGAGGGTGGTAAGAGGGGATGCAGGGACACTCCTCCAACACTTTCACTGAACAACAATTTTTCCTTTTTGGCAGTCAGTTTTCCCTGATAATACTCCTTCCTTTAAAAATTTATCCCAGAGAAAAGACTGACATAAATTTTTTTTCATGGCAACTAAAATTGATTAAAAAAACTTTTTAAAAAAATAATAAATACGACCTGTAAGGTCGATTAACATTTTAATTTTGCTTCTCTCTTAATTGTATTTGGATAGGACTTAATTAAATGCAAACAAGTGATGGGTTTTATCATTTTATTAGTGAATCATATAATAAAACAATTATTGCTGTGTTTTGAGGTCAATACAATGACTTAGCCATCTTCGAAGTACAATATTCACCTCGCCCTCCGGGCTCGGTGAATATTTTACTCCTCAGATGGCTAAATCATTGTATTGACCTCAAAACACAGCAATAATTGTATAATATCCATTCAGTTTTAAATATAGTACTTAAATGTCAAGGGGAATGAAAATTGCTTCCCTTAATGTGTCAATTCATTAAAAGCTTGTTTGCCATGTAAGAGTGTTTTACTGAAGTACCCCTACCTGGATGAATTCTGTCTGAATGATGCACCTAGGGATTGACTTTACTAGACTTGCTTTGGAGGCTGAATCTGACCTATGTTTTCTGGATGACTGACAGGCTGAATAAGTATAATAGTTTGGAATACTGTATGTGTACTTACACATGTATACTGTGAAAATCATCCTCCTCTTTAACATACTAATGATGAAACAAATATTAGCTTATAGAATCTAAAATTAATTGTACCAATGATAACATGTTTTAAGCATTAAACTCTAGTTAGGGCCCCGCAAGGATTTGCGGGTGCCCTATAGTAATCACTCTGTCTGTCCGTCCGTCTGTCATTCTTCCGTCCACAAAATTTCTGTTTTTTTTTCTGATAACTTTTTTATGGTTGCCCAATCAAGATCAAATTTGGTATGGTAGTTCAGTAGGCAGAAATACATATTTTGATGCTAAGTTTGGTTCTCTATGTCTTCTGGTTTGGAGCTGGGGTGGTGGGGTAGATTCCTTAACTATGCATAAGAATGAATGGGCAAAGAGAGATAACTGCTGAGAATGTTACCATTGTAAACTGGGAAGACTGTGCAATTTGTCCTTTGGGATTAATTAAGCCTTCACGTGAAGAAAATCCTAAGCATTATCTTTATCTGTCACATTGAGATTAATAACTGTACCGCCTCTGTCTGCAAATGAACTTTGTTTTGAAGTTAAGGTCAATTTCTCTGAAATATGGATTTAAAATAATATTCTTTAATACCAAGATACTGTACACAATGATTTATGATAATTTTATTGAATTCTAAAATCAAGATATATATTAAGTTATCATTTTTAGCTCACCTGAGCTGAAGGCTCAAATGAGCTTTTCTAATCACATTTTGTCCGTCGTCCATCCGTCTGTCCGTCCGTAAACTTTTCACATTTTCAACTTCTTCTCAAGAACCAACGGGCCAATTTTAACTAAACTTGGTACAAAGTATCCTTAGGTGAAGTGGAGTTTAAATTGTTAAAATGAAGGGCCAAATCCCCTTACAAGGGGAGATAATGAAGAAAAGACAAAAATAGGGTGGGGTCATTAAAAAATCTTCTTCTCAAGAACCACTGGGCCAGGAAAGATGAAACTCATGTGGAAGCATCCTTGGGTAGTTTAGATATTAAATTGTTAAAATCATGACCCTCCGGGGGCAGGGCGGGGCCACAATAGGAAATCCAAGTTTTACATAGAAATGTATAGAACAAATCTTTAAAAATCTTCTTCTCAAGAACCACTGGGCCAGGAAAGCTGAAACTTATGTGGAAGCATCCTTGGGTAGTGTAGATATTAAATTGTTAAAATCGTGACCCCAGGGAGTAGGGCGGGGCCACAATAGGGATTCCAATTTTTACATAGAAAAGTATATAACAAATCTTTAAAAATCTTCTTCTCAAGAACCACTAGTCAAGGAAAGCTAAAACTTATGTGGAAGCATCCTTGGGTATTGTAGATATTTAGTTGTTAAAATCATGACCCCTGGGGGTAGGGCGGGGCCACAATAGGGAATATATGTTTTACATAGAAATATATAGAACAAATCTTTAAAAATCTTCTTCTCAGGAAGCACTGGGCCAGGAAAGCTGAAACTTTTGTGGAAGCATCCTTGGGGAGTGTAGATATTAAATTGTTAAAATCATGACCCCCGGGGGTAGGGCGGGGCTACAATAGGGAATCCAAGTTTTACATAGAAATGTATAGAACAAATCTTTGAAAATCTTCTTCTAAAGAAGCACTGGGCCAGGAAAGCTGAAACTTATGTGGAAGCATCCTTGGGTAGTGTAGATTCCAAATTGTTCAAATATTGACCCCCGGGGGTAGGGCGGGGCCACAATAGGGAATACAAGTTTTATATAGAAATAAATAGGAACAAACTTTAAAAATCTTCTTCTCAAGAACCACCGGGCCAGAAAAGCTGAAACTTATGTGGAAGCATCCTGGGTAGTGTAGATTCTAAATTGTCCAAATCATGGCCCCTGGGGGTAGGGCGGGGCCACAATGGGGAATTTAAGTTTTACATAGATATATTTAGGAAAAATCTTTTAAGAATCTTCTTCTCAAAAATCACTGGGCCAGGAAAGCTGAAACTTATGTGAAAGCATCCTGGGGTAGTGTAGATTCTAAAGTATTAATTCATGAATGGGGAGGGTGTAGGGGGGGCATGATAGGTATAGCAAGAGGGGAAATCTGGTAAAGAACTTCATCACCCAAGTTACTCAGGTGAGCGATGTGGCCCATGGGCCTCCTTTATTATTACTATTTTATTTTTTTTAATTATTTATTTATTTTATTTTATTTTTTGCTGCCTTAATGCTGTTAATTTTAACAGGTAATCAGATAATAATCCCAATCTGTCAGAGCTTAATAAAGGGTCTTATTGTAAATTTAGAAGAAAAGGGTTAGAGAGCAGTACAATTAATCCCTTGGGATTAATTATCTAGCATGCTGCAGAAAAGGATCACTTCATAAATAAAGATTTGACCTATAGGACCAGCTTTGAATTTTTCCCTCTACAAAAACCTTGTCGATTTGCGTTCCGATTAATGACATTAGGCTGAATACATATAACAATTTGTTTTTCCTAAATCTTTTTTTCAGCGAGTAGAGGTAGGGGGGACCCTTTCATTGATTTTCTGAGTTTGTTATCTCAAAATGTAATAATTATGTTCCCCAAACGGAGTTTGGGAACATATTGTTTTTACTCGGTTTCTTATTATTATTATTATGTTCCCCAAACGGAGTTTGGGAACATATTGTTTTTACTCAGTTTCTTCTTATTAAGGTCTTCCGTCTTCAGCGGAAGACCTTCTTGTTATTCTTAGGTTTCTTTTTCACTTTTATTATTATTATTGTTTTTTTTTCTTACCGATTTTGTGCACGCGATTTCTCGAAAACGGCTTGATGGATTTCCATGAAACTTTCAGGACTTATGAAACATCACTTGAACCTTATGCGTTTTTTTCTGTTTTGATGACGTCACTTCCGGTCTGGAGTTATAAGCTTTTTAATGATTTTTTAAGGGTCAGTTTGTCCGCACGATTTCTCCTAAATGGCTTTAGATAAACACATGATACTTTCAGGTATGGTAGACCTATGTCCATAGATTTGTGGAATGTATTTCATTTTCATCGGAAGTACCGCACGTCGGCGCTCGCTACGGCCCGAAAATAGTCGTATCGCAAAATTCAAAATTTTTAACACTTTTTCTACGATATCTTTTTACCTGGAAATATTTTGTTAAGACATATAGAACAAAAGAAGTGTAGAATTCCGCGATCTTTCAAATGATATCTTTTAAAAAGGGCTGGCCCCTAAAATTAAGGGCCTAGAGGGGCCGAAAGTTTTTCCTTTATATCTCATGAAGTATTGAGAATTTGCAATATGTCAAAGAGGCAAAGTTGTTCAAAATGTCAAGCTCAATCTATTGCAGTCATCAAAATACGTCCATCGTCGTCACTTCCGGCCAAATCAGAAGTAGTCGAAAAACACGTATTTTTGCCGTTCTTAACCCGTTTTGGGGTAACATATGTCTCTGGGAGCATAAAAATTAATTTTCCGTCCGTTCATCATGTCATCACTTCCGTTCTAACCGGAAGTAGCAAAAATGGCTTATTTTTGCATTAATTAACATAAATTAAGGTGATTTATACATTTTTGGGCGTTATTACTCATTTTTGGAAAAAAATGAAAGTCACTTCCGGTTACTTCCGGTCAAACAGGACGGAAGACCTACTCGTTGCTTTGCAACGAGCTTTGCTCTAGTTAT